GGCACCAGAAATGCTGCAGATTAGCAAATGCTAACCCAGCTTTCGTCACGCATTGAGAGATCTCCTCGTCCAGCCGTTATGCAACTCCCAAGGTAGACAAAGCTTTCAACGACTTCCAGAGTGCCATTGTCCAATGAAAATGCAGGAGTGGATTCCTGCCAATCTTGCAACAACATTCTGCATTTTGAAGGTGCAAAGGACACACCATAGCGAGTAAACTCAATTACCAAACGGTTCAGCGACTATTGAATTGTTGGCGCGTTGTCACCCAGTAAGGCAATATCATCGGCATACTCTAAGTCTACCACTCTGTCCCCAGGAAGAAGCTCGACGCCAGCGTTCGTTACATTGTGTCATTCATCCCAAGATAAACCCGGCTGCATACCCTGACCAGGAGACTGGCTCACACGGGTTCCGGTAGGCTCCCTGGCTGGGGACCCAGAGATCATGGTCACCGGTGGTTAGAGACACTGAGCGATATGGTTGGGTGTCGCAAACAGCGGCGCTCATCCATCCACCCATTATTATTGTAATTCTTGACCATCAAGCATCAGCGCTCGTCTACCTCAGCGCTGATGCTTGATGGTCAAGAATTAGCTGTAGTGGAATGTTTTACCTACTTAAGTAGCTGCGTTTCAAATGACAGTGGCATAGTCAATGAAGTAACCGCCCGCATTTCCAAGGCTCGAGCAGCTTACGCAGGATTGAAACCTCTTTGGTGTAGACGCGATGTTTCGTTAAAACTAAAAGATCGCGTATACTGCACCAATGTGCGGCCAGTTCTACTCTATGGTTGCGAGACCCTAAATTTGCGCGTGGAACATATTCGTCGTCTTGAAGTATTCAACTGCAGATGTTTACGTAGTTTGGCTCGGGTTGGAAGGAGCGAGCTTGTAAGCAACTCTGAGGTGAGGCGTCGTGTATTTGGTAATGATTAGATGGAGAATTCGTTGTCCCATTGAATTCAGATTAGTCGGCTTCGCTGACTCTGGAACTGGCTGACTGGAGACATTAAAGGATATTGCGACTAATCGACAGTAGTGTCGTTCTTGTTATCATTTCATAACAAATCAGAATGTTTGAAAAGGTATGCATGAACACTTGGATTGTGTGCTCTGTGTTGAACATGGAGGTTCTTTTTCTTTGCCTCCCTCTAATTAGGCCCAATCCATCTTGATCTTGTGCTTTATCACTTAATTTGTGTACACTGTGAGCTTGGCAGCGATCAGTGGAGCTCGCTTCGCTGTATCTTGCTGTACAATGATGATGATGATGATGATACACACAGCATACAGGTTTGGTTCAATATATCCGTCACTTGATCAGAATACCGCTTACTTTTTGGGACTATTTGTCTCTTGCGGGGATCGGGTGAACGGTGGCAAGACTAATGTTCCGTCGCACTACTGGGCTTGCACACACAGATGAGCTCAGAACCAAAACAGTCCGGTTACCCGGTTGTCATTAATAGGGGACACAAACAACGACGATATGAGAGAGCTACGTAGACAGTTTTGCTAATGAGTTTGGTTTCTAATGGGCGACAGCAATGACTTGACGCGCAACTTGGCTAATTTCTTCTCAATCTTATGATTAGATCGGGGGTGGGGGGGAGGTGGTGGTGTAAAAAGACATTAAAGAGTAGAAATGTGAAGCGTAAAATGTGTTGTTTGTTTTCAAAGTGGAACACACCACGCATGACTGGCGTCACACCTCATTATGTCGGCGAAAAACCATACAGTTCGAAACAATCAGTTTGACAGGACCAGTCGTGTATGAAGTTGTTCAACTCTGTCTTAGCCGTGCACAGTATCTCAAGGCAGCGCCTCATCGAATGTTACGCAACCGGGATGAAAGGAAGCAGCACGGTGAAATGCTTTCCATTCTTTTGCTGCTAACTTAAACAGAATAGATAGATATATCAAAACCCCATGCAATTTAATTGTTTCTAGTGATGAAATCGAGTACTATATCCGAAAACGATTATTCGTATGTAGTCAGCGTACCAAAGTCCTCTCGGTCATACCCTTTATGGAGAGTTAGCGTCAGGTCCAGAGTTAAAAAGGTCACTTTCAAATCGAGGGAAATAGATAACGTGAATCTACGAAGGAAATGCTGTGTGCTCAGACATTTCGCGACTTGAAATGGTGAATGCAGCCGAGACCAGGTCTAAAACACGCCTGGTTCTCACGCAGGCTCCACTCTTGTGTAACAGATAATCAACGGCACATAACGCTCGAGAGAAGCTTAGGTACGTTGTTCTGTATTTTGTGGATAGGAGTCTTTGTTATGGGTTTCCGCTGGAGACTTGAAAAGTGAATGAAAAGTGATTCTAGGTTAGTGGATGCGGTTATCACATGAGTGCCTTCCAAGAAGACCGGGGATATTCGATACGATTGTACTTGTTATATCTTAAAGCCCATACTGTGTTAGGTAAACCGATTATCAGTTGGTAGATTCTGCAAGTCACAACTTGCCAAACAGCGTCGGATTGTTTATCTTTCTTGGTGCAGATGAATATCGTTTGAATAGAATCACCTTATACACAGCCGTTCACTTCTCGTGATACTTATCCTCCACCATGCCGTCCCATGTGACATCAGTAGACAGGTAATACACGTGATGCGTCTGTTTGGACTGTGGCGGTACCGCGAAGGAATACAGAAACTGTTTCGATAACCTAGACTGTCCGTTCTCGATCGATAAACACTAACACTATGCCTATCACACCCATTGTGAAAAATCACCTGAAATTAGCCAGCAATATTTATCCAACAATGATGATGCAAAACCTATCAGAGAGATGGTACACTCGAACCGAATTGCTACTATCAAGCTTTGTCTGTCGTCGGTTACGGCTACCTGTTCCAGCCAGTCACAAACAGTGTGCACAGGCTCTGGTTGGTTGGTCGGCGGATGCAGACTAGCCTGAGATGTTTTGTCATCACGAACGATATTTTTTAGTTATCTCGTCTACAGTGTACAGATTTTCCTTCAACAGTGATCGGAAAATGCTGTGTTGTTGGTAAA